ATATTTTGTCGCATCTATTGCTATGGTTATCACTATGTCAATCACTACTACTTCGAGAGCGACTCCAGCATAAATATGCGGATGTCATTCCCGAAAGTTTGCAACGTGTGTGTGGCCGAAAAACAAAGTTCTACATTTTAAATGGATTATTGCCAAGAAAGCTCGCAAAGAGCGCTCCTTTTTTAAACCAGTAAAAACTGTCACTCTTAGTTCATCGTGATCTCACAAAGTTCTGTTATGACCAATGAATCTCACACTGTGCAATTAATATATTATTAACATCGTCGTGTATACACTCTGTATGTTATAATGAAAGGATTCGATTGTGATCAGCACAGAACAAAAACTGGTGTGTGTCGCAGCCATTAGGTAAACCAGCATGCATTCATGAGGATGATAAAAGTGTTTTAACTTGAGTAAAGCCAGGTGTAGAGCCAGGTGTGGCTCACGAGCCATAGGTTCCCGACCTCTCTTCTAAATGAATATATGGAAATCAGTTTAAGGGGGCAAATATAATCTTAAAGGGGTCATATGATGTTGTTAAAAAGAACATGATTTTGTGTATTTGGTGTAATGAAATGTGTTCATGCGGTTTAAGGTTAAAAAAACACACTATTTTCCACATACTGTACATTATTGTTTCTCCTCTATGCTCCGCCTTTCTGAAACGCGTAGATTTTTACAAAGCTCATCGGTCTGAAAAGCGAGGTGTGCTGTGATTGGCCAGCTATCCAGTGCGTTGTGATTGGCTGAATACCTCAAGCGTGTGACGGAAATGTTATGCCCCTTACCATATTGTGAGAGATGGTCCTCACTGCAGAACACAAGATCCAGGGGGTGAGGTTGGATCCAGATCCAACTCCTCCCACCTTACACATACCTAAACCTACCCATCTCCACCCCTAAACCTACCCATCTCCACCCCCTAGATGTGGATCCAACCCTGCCCCCTGAATCTGTGTCCCGGCCGGAGCGACGAGACAAAAACATGAAAACCCATTATAAACAAGGCATTTGTTGCATCCAGTGGGGACATAATTACGGATTATAATGACTTATACCGTCTTTTAACGTGTTGCGTTGCATCACGTCGCGTCGCGTCGCGTCGCGTCGCGTAAACATAAAACCATGTCTGCATTTGTGATCGGAGAAATGACAAACAACAAGTGCTACTCTACACTGCTCAAAACTCGCGTTTGAATCGTCAGTGGCAACTCCTTTAAATATGAAAACGTACTTACAGTCTGTGAGTCAGAACAGCTGGCATTGTAGTCTACTCTACCAGGATCAGGAAACAGTCCTCCATAAAATGTGCTGCACACATCTGAATATTTGGGTTGAACTGTTCTGGAAAAGTGCTGTAAATACAACTTAACCACTGATTTCTAGTCGTGTCCTCTTTTGGAAGGCCAAGCAAAGTAGTTTCGCTTTCACAACGAAACACACAGCGTCACACATGGCGGCCTTGAGTGAGCGGAGGCCGGCTAGAGTGAGCAGAGGCGGCGGGCTTGAGAACGGCGGATTCGATGAAGGAGTGTCCGGAGGGCTTGCGGCAACCACATGTGATGACCCCGAGCTGGACTCCCCTTCGTCCATGGTGAAAGCCGATCCGGTGATCCACAGCGCAAAGTTGATGTATTTCCTCAGCGACCAGCACGGATCAGCTCTAGGCTTGACGAAGCGGATATTGTCCTCTTTTGGAAGGCCAAACAAAGTAGTTTCGCTTTCACAACGAAGCACACAGAGCCTTCACGACATGGTGGCAGCAACAACAATACTACAGCGAGAATAAAAGTTACGCCTTCTTTCTTTGCGTGAACATTTGGGCGTCGTTATGCAAATCTTCTCACATCGTGATGTAGGTATGTGGGGGCGTGTTAGAACGAGCCGTTTTAGGTAGGTGTGGCTGACTCTTAACTTTTATAAAGAATATTTCTTTGGATTTGAGACTTTAGTCTTTGCAACTTTACAGATCTTCTTTATGCACCAAGAGCTTGTAACACTCCAAAGAGAAAGAAAAAATTGAACTCGCATCATATGACCCCTTTAATGGAAAAGTTAGTTTCTTTGACTGGACAAGATTTGTCTAAAAAGACTAAAAGTCAAAAAATTTACACAACAGCTCATTTGTATTTGTTAAATGAATTACATCTGTCAGATATTTCCCTGTTTTCTTTGGTAATTATGGGATTCCTCAATGTATTAGAGCAGGGGTGGCGAACGTCGGTCCTGGAGAGCCGCAGCCCTGCAGAGTTTTGCTTCAACCCTAATCAAACACACCTGAACAAGCTAATCAAGGTCTGAAGGGTTACTAGAAAGCTACAGGCAGGTGAGTTTTAATTAGGGATGGAGCTGTACTCTGCAGGACTGCGGCTCTTCAGGACCGGAGTTCGCCACTGCTGTATTAGAGTGTTGCATACTGTAAAATGTGAGATTATTAAATGTAAACATGAAATCAAGCCACCATTTAAATCACTTCACTTTTAACATTTATTGAATGATTTGTACATATTTAAGTAATTAAATGGCATATTCTTTCTCTTAGGAGTCTCAACAAACTTCTAAACAGTTGCAATGGACTGCTCCAGTAAGGAAGAAGTAAGCAATAGATCTTGTTTTCTTCATAAGGCAAATTTTGCTAAATTATCTTTGCAAATTATGTGTCTTAGATAAAACATTGAGAGTTTCAGAAACTTTGGATTGAAACAAATGTAGTCTCTTGACACACCTTAGTTTGCATGCCACTAATGTCAAAAAAACTTTCAAATGAAGGAAAATGCAAATGAAGCTGCTAGTGATGACACTGAAGACAAAGAGCAAACATGTCCACATTCTCTTGAGTCATATCAAAAGGAAGAAGTTGCCAAATTACCAGGTAACAAAATTACCCTTGTGCCATCATTAATCTCTGATGAGGTGCTGGCCATAATTTACATTAAAATGTTAAAAAAAGTATCCATGACTATTATTGGCGTTACTGCCAGCCTAAATAAGTTGATACCATTTTATGTTTTTTGGCTCAAAACGAAACCAAAATTGACCCTATATTTTCATATTTCTTATTGTGCATGATTCAATGGTGCATATTATTCCAAAGAAAAAATGATACGTTTGAAACCCTTCTTAACCATACGTGTTGTTGAATCACGTACAGAAAGCAATGGTAACATTCCTATATGCTGAATGTGATAAATTAGTCAGTACTGGCAATACTTTATCAAGACTGCTTTCAGATGCTGAAAATGTATGATTCTTGTTTCCACAGATGTTCCTGCACCAGGTAAAATTTTAGTGCAGCTTATTGGGACCAGGTCTGTTCCCCTTCAGGAACTCGAGCTGCGTCGAGATTTGCTTTGGGAACGCCCTTGCGCGATCGCGTTCTGAAGCACGTGTCAAATCTGTCCAATGGAGCAGCGAGACGTCACGAGCGGGGTGACGTAAGCACCAGAAAGCATAAAAGCTCATCCGGCCGGGCGCAAACCAGCTTCTGCTCTTCAGTAGCGCTCTGTGTATGTGTCTGTCTATTTACTGTTGTCTGTCCGCACAAGCACTCATATATATAAAACAATGAAAAAGTCTATGGCGAGCAAACGGCAGTACAAATGCTGTGTATCCCCTGCCCACGATATCTGACGGCAGGGGATACACACGATTTGTGTGTCGTTTGATTGGGAGCGGCGCATGCACGGTCAGCTCTCGAGGGGGCTGGTTGTCATGACTGCGAGCTGCTCTCGCTGAGCACGCTCCGCTCTCGCCTGGCTGTGTTTGATGAGAGCAGCCAGACTCGCGATCCCGCTGAGTTTCGAGAGGTTCCAGGAGGCGAGAAAGCAAGCGGCGGCGTTTCAACGGTTCCTCCCTCGTCACACCCACTGCTGAGTGGGAACAGCCCCAGCCGTCAGGCTCCTCATATCGCCAGTCACAAAAACAGGGCGTAAGACGCTGCATCTCTTTGCCATACTCCCTGCATCCCTGCAGGCGCTACTTCATCGAAGCTGGTTTGCGCCCGGCTGGATGCGCTTTTATGCTTTCTGGTGCTTATGTCACCCCGCTTGTGACGTCTCGCTGCTCCATTGGACAGATTTGACACGTGCTTCAGAACGCGGTCACGCACGGGCGTTCCCAAAGCGAATCTCGACGCAGCGTCTCGTTGCCTCGGGGAACCATGGTTACATACGTAACCTAGAGACGTTACTCTTGGTTGGGACAGTCCAGACAACATAGCTACATTTGAGTTGACTTGCTTCAGTCCTAAAACAACACAGACCTTCACTGTCACCAATGTCACTGCCACAGAAGTAGAAGATCTGTGTCCAGGGACTGAGTACACATTCAGTCTTGTTTCAATTTCAGAAAATGGCAGTCAGTGTCAGAAGTGAAGTGACTGCATGCACCAGTAATTGTCTTGCATTATTTAAAATTGTATGAAATTTGTAACTGAGAAAAAGTAGCAACATAAAGTAGTATTCATGTATGTATGTATGTATGTATGATGTATTTATTTATTTACAGGGCCAGTCCCACCTGACAAATTCAAGGCTGAGAGTGTGGGATCCACATCAGTTACTCTTATTTGGGATGCATCTGGCTGTGAAGAGAAGAAGTTTCATATAGTCTGCTACCAGAATGGAAGAATCATTCAGGAAGAGACGACACAATTAGGCAGTGTGGTTTTCAGTGACCTAAATCCTGGGAATAAGTACTCTTTTCACAATACAATAGTGCTTCCAAATGGCTTTCGAAGCAAAGCAGCAGTCACATACGCTCAAACCAGTTAGTATGATATAGCAAATTTCACTAAAAACATTCTTTTTACATTCTTAATTTTGTAGTAATATCAAATCTAATTAAATTATGAAATGATAAACAAATACTTGCTTTTTCAACAGAAACAAACATTCAGAGCCTCTTACAGGATTTGGGGTTGGAGCAGCACTACCCGAACAAACTCTCACTTAAGGATGTGCTACAGATTGACATAAGGTCAGTGACAGATGAGCCAGCCCAGTTTCTATCATCTTTACCATGGCTGTTCCTGAAGAAACTGATGATGGTGAATGTGACTGCAAGAAGTGTCAAATATTCATGTAATGATGAAGATTGGTCAAGCTTAGATATTTACAATGATACATTCGATCTTCTTAATGATCAGAACAGCAGTGTGAACCCTTTAGACATAGTGACCGCACTCTTTCTTTGTTCAGATGGTTTCCTCCAACAGGAAATGGTTTCGAAAATGTCAATGTGTCAGTTCTCTGTTCCTTTGCTTCTTCCAAACTCTGATACTCAACAGTGTATGTTCATGCTTTGGGCCATGAGAGATATTGTAAAGAAATTTAGACCTCATTCTTTGTCAGAACAAAAAGGCTTTGTGGAGGAGAGAATTGTTCACGCTAAGCTCCCCCTAGTGTCCTTTGTTAGACTTGGAAATTGCAACATTTCTAAATCTCAGATCTTAAACAAACTGCTCAGCAACCCCCAACAATATCATGACACTTTTGTACATCGTGACATGGATTGCGGAGACGTTCCAAGAAAGATATCTAATGGGTTAGTGGAGATGAGTTGGTATCTACCTTGTGGAAACAAAAACATTGATGTTTTTCCTGAACCCGTGGCTTTTGCAAACTTGAGAGGCGACATCAGTGCCTTTGAAACACAGTACTCCTTCTTATGCCAGACCTCCACTGCAGTTTTTGTGTTCTTTGACAATCTGGACACAAACTACAAGATACTCACCAACCAACATGCTAATGCACAGTTTTTTTTAGTGGGCAACAGACAGAGCAAAGTATTTAATTTGGAGCAGCTAAAAAGGACAGCCTCTGAAATGAGTTTAAAGAAAAACAACATAATTCTGAAGATCAATCAAAATGATGCACATTTTGTCAAAAATCTGCATTCTACAGTAAATTACATACTTAATAATCTCCCAAACAAAGCATGCCTGGAAGGAATGGACACCATAGCACATGAACTCGGAATTCAAGTTGATGAAGACATCAAAGAATGTCAGAAAGCAAAAAATAATGCACACTTCATAACAGAAGAAATACTGGACACAATGCAGTTCAAACAGAATCAGCTTCCCTTTCAGGGTAAAATATGGAAAGATTTGGCAAAACTGGAGAAAGAGGAATGCAGACTCCGGAAAGCTGGTGATCAAAACATAGAGACATACAAGAGTCATCTCCAGATGAAAAAGACTGAACTCAGGAAACAGCAGAGTAAATATGATATCTCAGAGGCCATGTCCTGCTTTGTTAGTGCACTAACTACCTCAGACCAGGAAAGGTCCTACTTCTTGAAGTGGATGCGGATGAACCTAGACAATCTCTCCCAAAAAAACCTCTCTAGCCTCAGAGAAAAGTACAAAGAAAAGTGTCAACAATTTTCAGAAAACAAAGAGGAGATTGCACAGCTTGACCAACAGATCTCTGGAGTGGACAAAAAGCTTGTGGAATGCAGTCAAATATGAAAATTTCATATTTAGCTTCAGAAACAGCTTGGTGGCTGATGCATACATGAGACTGTGCACAGAATTTCATAAATGGGAATGGTCTTTCAAGAAGCATATTCACTCTTGGTTAACAGGAGCTGAAACCAGAGTGTCAAATTTTGAGATACTCAAACTGAAAGCAGACAAATCAGACTTGAAAGATCTTTTATTTGGGCTAAAACAAGAAGCTGTCACAAAGCTTGACTCATTGGAAAAGACCACAATGGAACATCTGTCCAAATACTTTGAACAAACAGAGGGTCATGTCTGTCTTGTGGAAAAATACAAACAAGACTTTGTGAACAGTGTGAAATCTCTCAGAAGGGAAACTGAGAGCTCTCTGCTGACACAGCTTGAAGCTACAGTGGAAATCAGGAGAGGAATGACTAATTTGGACCAAATCAAGAAAACATTCACTGACACAATGGAGAAAAAGGTGTTGGGCCTACTGGAGGAGTTACGGAAAAACAACTACTCAAATAGTGATGCCTATATGACTGACAATGAGCTTGACAGATGTTTTGAACATATATGGCAAGAAACTGTCAACGAGCTGTCATTTAACGGACTGGAGAACAAAAATATATCTGATTGTGTTTTCAGCCAACTTCGAAGGAACCTGAAACAGAAGGGAAGTTCTGTTGCAGAGAAATTAATGAAAGTCAATCTGAACAATTATGGCACAGGGGTGTTCAAAGTCACCAAAGAAAATTTCTTAAAGAAGTTGTTCAAACGGATCATCAGTGACAACTCTACAGTGAACCTACAGAATTTGGCAGATGAAATGATAGACACGTGCTCTCACGTAGTCCGGGAAAAGACAGAGGGACGTTTAGATTACCATGACACCTACATTCAGGAAATCATAAACATAATTGATGACAAACTGATGTTCAACAAGAATCTAGGATTTTCAGATGAATTTGAACTATCTCTCAAATTGCACATTTGCGGGTTTTCTGCAAAAGAATTTCAACACATGCATGATTGTTTCATTAAGGAGAATGACCCACGCAGATGCCTTGGTCAGTATAAAGAGAAATATCACAATGATTTCAAAGACCTATTCCATGATCGCGATCAGTGTCAAAGAAAGGCTGAAGAATTCACTAAACTGTGCCTGATTCCTGCAGTTGAGACATTCATCTACAGCTCCTTGGGTCCAGACATCGTTGACAAAATGATTCAGGGTAAAAATGCATTTCAGTTCAGCACTCGTGGATTTTTTCAGTACACACTCTTAAAGCAGCTGCTCAGAGAAGATGCGTTTGAACAGTATGTGAAGTACATTTCCTCCTATGAACGTTTTGTTAAGGGCTGGATATCAGATCAAATCACCAAACAGTTTTCAAATGGACATGAAGTGTCTGAGTTGGAGGAACGTCACCTTAGAGGGATCACCATGGGGATACTAGAAGCTGTGAAAATGGCACAGAATGAAACGTATGAAGATGGTATCAAAGGATTCATACACTGCATATGCAGGAAGCTTGGACGAAAGCTAATAATTCCCAAAGATGCTCTAGAAATAGTGATGGTCCTAAACAATGCTTCTCAAGAACCATTTGCTTGCTGGCTAACTAAATCTGTAGAAGAGATGGAGCAGACACTAAAGGAACAATTGAAGAAAATCAACATCAAGGAGAAACTGTCCAAACTCAAAATGAAACCCCAGAATGAGCTCTTCAAACGTGTGTTTGGATGTGGAAAACAGTGTCCATTCTGCAGTGCTCCATGTGAGGCTGGTGGAGAAGCCCACACTGACCACTGTACTTCAGTTCACAGACCTCAGGGACTTGGATCCTTCATGTTTGTATGCAATGAAAAACTAGTGACAGACATCTGCTCAACAGATGTCCACAGTGAACAACAGTTCATGTGTTTTGAGACCAATTATGAGTACCATCCTTACAAAAGATATATCTAAGCATTCATATATGAGGTCCCTCAGTATTATCAGCAGTTTTCGCATTGCTCAATAGCTAATTACCCTCCTCCATCCCCAGCTCCTCCTCTGTCAGTCGGGATTCAGCCTTCTGATTCTCCTTGAATCAGACTAATTCTAAAATGTGTACAAAAAATGATTGAACTTTAACAATATCTGCAATACATTTATGTTAGTTCTGTTCTGTTTACCCTGGGGGGGTTATCGCTGCTCTCCCTGCTCTCATCCATGCTAGGCTGCATGGAGGCGCAGGGAGTTCTTGCCCAGAACAGAACCATACCGCCAATCCAAACTGTATGCTAATTGTCAATAATCTTTGACGATAGTGGTCCTGACAGAAATTTGATTAAAAGAAAACAAGAGTCTGTTGTCTGGCTATGAATTTCTTTAATGTTCCCCAGATCAGAGTCACAGCATACAGTGTGTAATAACTTCTAAATATCATCATAGAAATATCATCACCTTATTTATATAATTTTACCTTTCTTTTTTTTTTTAAATCCATTATTAACATGTTTATTCTTCATCAAGCTTGGCGTTCTGATTCTGAACATATATAGTAAAACAGGGCAACAGGTGTAAATTTGCTTTAGGACCCAGTAAAATGTGTTTATTTTCTTAGAGGAATAACGTGTGCTTCATTTATTCAGTAATCTTTAAACATATCGAGATCCTTGTGCACTCTTTATGCCATCTTTAATTTGGCAATATTTCACTAGATGCTTAATTCAGTCAAAAATAATAAAATGTATACTTGAGTGTACAAATGTGACCATCAAACAGTACTTTTCCCCTATTTTAGATATTTCATAAAATCCCTACCACCTTTTGGTAAAAATTCAATGCTACAACAAGTTCATGGCAGATGAAAAACTTCTCATAACCACCATGGTTTCCAGTGCTTACTTTGCTTAAATAAACCGGACGTTCTAGTCCATCTCCATATCAAAGATTTTGAAAACGGGCAGGCTTTGTATATGAAACAGACAGCCAATCATACTTGTGCAGAAATATGACTAGCTGTGATGATTCAAGTGACATTGGTATGCTACATAATACACAATCTCTTTAAGCTCAAATATAGGAGCAAGTCATCATCGCCATCCTCTGATCTCAAAACTAAATGAAGCAGCAGAAAGTGAATTTAACGAATTTAACGAAATCAATTTTGCTGGTGGCTGAATTAGAACTTGCACCTGTTGCCTGGTCACAAAGTATTTCAAATTTCATTCGACCAGAAAGAAAAAATAAAACCAAAAGAAAAGAAACACAAACAAAACATTTAAACAAGTCACTGAATATTTACAAATATTTTCAGTTGATTTGTTCTTACACTTAAAAATGTACAGTTCATTTCTATTTCTCCTTCTCTCACTGTACGCTATACTGAAAACCCAATGAATGGCTCATAATGGATGTAGAGTCTTTATTCTGTATGTACCACGACATCACACTCTAGTGGTTGAGCGTACAAAAACAAACGAGAGAAATAACAAAAGAGTCGGAACTCATCCCGTAAAACGGCATTGATTATTAGAACTGAGGTTGTTTTGTACACAGCTCTAGTCAACTCCTCATAGTTTGTTTAAAATGGAGTTCAGTTATACCTACAACCACACAAAAGTCCACAGATGGTACATATCCACAGGTCCAACCTACACTCTCGGATCGCCAGAAGGTACCTGCAACTGAAGTTTGTTACAATCTCCCTTCGTTTATTGTCCAGTTGTTGTTGTTTTCAGTCCACACCGCAGAAGAAAGTTCTGTTTTCATGACTGAAACTCCAGCATGTTTGCTTAGCAATGCTATTAGAGTCTGTTCATGTTTAGTACATTGTGCAGCATTCTGGCGTTAGTTCTTGCTCCATCGTGATGGTCCTGGGCATCTCACAATACACTGGCAAACGGAGCCAACAGTGAGACAAACCGTCATCCTCCCGTGACACACAGCAGTGGCAGAAAAATATGACTAACAAGGCATGAAGAGAACGTAAGTGATCATGTTTATCCCGCAGTTACTGTCCAGTGATTCTGAGCCATTCGTTCTTTAACCTGAACATGTATTCTGAAGAAACAATCTGTAAGATTTGTCCATATATAGATCTGGTTTGCCACCACCACTATTTGCTGTGCTTGTCATAACCTTGTCAAAAAGGTCAAGTGTGCAGTGCAGACAGATGTGAGATATGTAGAGATGTGGGCGTAAACATATTAGCAGTGCTTCCAGCCTATTCCTAACTATTTTGTATGTAAAATGGCCAGGTAGGTTTTCCTGAATGGTAGAGGGCCACAGAGGAAGGAGATTTCTGTGTTATGAGGATTGAACAAACTAAGAAGTCTGCATTTCTCTCTCCTGTTGTGCCTCTCCGTCTCATAGTCTCTTATCTCACACATTCACATTAACACAAATGTACAGGACACCTAGCTATTGCCTAGAAAACACACTCTTTATGTGTGCACACGCACAAATACACAAAAAAGATGCTTATTAAATTTGGTTGTCAAAAACCAAATGATTTTGAACTGAAAGAGTAAGGACAGAGATAGAACGAGAGAGGCTACAGAGAGAGAAAGATGGGCCGAGGTGTAAGAGAATCATTTGTATCTGAGAAATATAATGGTCAGAGGCCCATAAAAGAGATGCAAAGCTACATGTGCATTCACTATTTGCTGTATTTATGCAACTGTCTGGACCATCACAGATGGCTCTAGCAGAGCACTACATGGTTGATGGTCAAATAATAGCACCAACAGCTGCAAATGAATGTCAAAAAGCATTTAAAAGAATATTGCCAATAGCTCTCTTTCTGGATACAGAGAGAGGATGCTGTCCTATAGAGTGGTCAGATTGAGGAAGAGGTTATATTTGGATTAATACTGATGAAAATACTACTGCAGAGAAGGTTTCTGTAGGCATTTTAAGCAAGCAAACTTGCAAAAAGAAAATGCAAATGTCCATCTTGGTGCTTTAAAATATTTCATGCATAGATCCCACCGAGCAATCCATGTAAATATATATTTATATCATTCTTTTATATATTTGTCTTTATATTTATACATACAAAAATCTTCCTAAGAAACAACACATAGCCAAGTCAAATATGTGTGATAAAATGACAGCAAGAGAAAAAGAGTGGAGGTTGGCACTTTTGTTTTCGTCTTCTGTCAGATGCTGTCATTTTCTCTCATTCTCTGCGTCTCTTGTTACAAGGTATGATTTAATACTTGACACAAGACTGCAGGTTAACGCAACATATCCAGCTACCACCTTTTATCGAATGCCCCTATGATTCATGTAAAACATAATCCAAGGACACAGATCACATTCGGACAGAGAGCGATGGGCTGGTAATGGAATAACAAAGGAGGATGACAAAAAGGATGGATGAAATCTGCACTCTGCCAATTTAGTGAGAGAAGAAAAGTGGGTAAATGTCATCATTTCCCCTCATGACATCGGATCAGCTTAGTCAATCACTGACGCCCAATTTCTTTAAGAACAATGTGTAAAAACAAACAGCAAGTTGAATCCAGTACGAGGCAGATGACTTGTCACTGCCGACCAAATCTGTTGCTCATCATTGAGTCTACAAACAGAGCTCCTCTAGTGTGTGCAACTTCTACGAAACCTTGATTGTGTCTATGAGAATGCCAACAGGAGTAGCTGCTCTAGACAGCTGAACTGAGAGCATCTTAAGTTTAGGAGCTTGGAAAGGTGGACAGAGAGAGAAAACTGGATATGTATGAGAGCTAGTCCTCTCGTTTGGGGGCGCTACTATACACGGGTGGTGGAGTGAGGGTGGGGTAAGGTGTTGTTGTGTCCGGTGGTTGTAGGATAAGTGAAGGCATGGAGGGGTTGCATGCCAGTAATGGTGCTGGGAATCATGGTGATAGTATTGGGGGTCATGAGCGGAACATCGTCGGGTGCCCGCCGAAGTGCCAATGTGTAGTCGGGTGGGCATGCGGGACGTAAAATATCATGCGGTCGCAACGGCTCCATGTCGTGGTGGGCGTCGTGCTCCGAGTGCTTCATTTGCAGGGACATGATCTCTTCCTCTTGGCTGTGTGCTAAGTCATTAGCAGGTCCGCCTCGCTGCGGGGACAGTCGGTGCCGTCGCATCTCGTGCCGTTTGTCGCGTTTGTAGTAAAGTGCGGCGAAGGCAAGGATGTTGAGGAAGAGGAGCGATGCACCGACAGCTACCGTCACACTCAGTTCTGTAGAGTAGTCCCGGGTGTCGCTTGGGAAGGGAGGGAATCGAGGGGGCTCTGAGCCATCTGGGTCCGATTCTGTAGGGAAGGTTGGGATGGGATGGCGTGTGGTTCGAGGTCCCTGACCCTTCCAGTGTGGGGTGCGGGCGGTTCCTGGAGGCAGCCGGGTTGTGGCAGTGCTGAAGACCTCCTCGTGAAGGTTGTGGAGGTGAGGAACCAGTTCCAGCCAGAAGGCAACCTTATTTGCTCGGTAGTTGTCCCGGATGCGAGGCTTCAGGCCAATGTGGAGATACTGCTTGTCTTTGGAGTTGAACTTGGTCCAGATCACTTCCTCAAAGCGGTTGGGCTTGGTGTGGATGAACTTGGTGTCCTGAGGAACAGGCAAGTTGGGATCCCTAGAGAAAACAGATATCTTGTGTCAAAAGGGTATTTGAATTAATTCCACACCGATGTTGTGAGCCACTCAGAACTTTTTAAATTGAGAAGCCTTTTTAAATCAAATTGGAATTTAAAACAGGATACATAACTGCAATTTGAATTCGGGCCAGGTGATAAAATATTTAGATATTTATTGAAAAAAAAAACACAATATTATAAACTTTTGAGAAATCTTCAATATTTAGCCAACCTCTAGACAATCTGGAACACTGAAACTCAAGGTCTCAATGTCAAGCTGCCAAAATAAATTAGTAATAAATATATTACTATTCCCTAGTGAACAATAAATATACATTTATTTCATGCTAAGTATACTACAAAAACATTTACATATTTATGTGCTTAATAAAAATACCCTGCTATTGTACTTTTGGTATACTAAACTGGTATACTTAAAGGGGTCCTATTATGCTCTTTTACAAAGTCTTTATTTTGTTTTGGGGGTGTACTAGAACAGGCTCTCATACTAGGTTGTTCGAAAAACACATTTTTTTTTTTACATAGTTTACATTATTACAACACCTCTCTCCTCAGTCTGGCATATGATTGGTTAGCTGGGCCAGTGTGTGCTGTGATTGGTTAGCTGGGCCAGTGTGTGTTGTGATTGGTTAGCTGGGCGAGTGTGTGCTGTGATTGGTTAGCTGAGTCAGTGTGTGCTGTGATTGGTTAGTTGGGCCAGTGTGTGAAAGGGATAGTCCACACAAAAATTAACATTCATCATTAACTCACCCTGAAGTCATTCCAAATCTGTATACATTTCTTTGTAAACACAAGAACATATTTAGCAGAATGATAACCAAACACTTTTGACCGCCTTTGAATTCACTTTATTTTTTGTCTATAAAATTACAATGGAAGTCAGTGAGACTGAAAGTGCTCCGTTACTAACATTCTTCAGATTATTTTCTTTTGTGTTCCATACATGACATGAGGGCGAGGAAACAATTACATAATTTTCATTTTTAGGTGGACTATCCCTTTAACACTTACCTACAAACCTTTATTTGTTTATCTCTTCTATTGTTTCAGTTGGCTTGGGCTCCTTACAGGGAAATTACATGATTGGTTTCTCCAGGGTAAAAACTGACATGACTTACCTGGTGTGACTGACAGTTGAGGGCTGTAGGACTGATGTTAGGTGAGGATGACAGTGATGATGAAGATGGTGCGGGTAAAGGTGGACGTTTTTGACGAGCAATGCAACAGAACACAGTTGGGCAGGACGGTGAGACATTTTGTGAGGTAACACACACATGCACACAGCATTTATAATGAGATGGAAACCTGTGCATGCAGGGATAGTATTAGTCTGTTAAAGCATTAACACACACACACACACACTGTTCATTGTTTGCTCATAACCGGAGTCACTGATCATGCAGATTTACGTTACAAGCTTGTAGAATTGTACAGTAAGAAAGTTATTTCCCTTAACCAGGAAATTAACGTTCTTGGAATTGACAAGACAGTTGACCCTGAGAGGTCAGCTAAATATCTACAGCGGATCTAAAATATGAATAGTTAATTATAACTAGTTATGGTTAATTATTCATATTTCCCCATGAGCTGATTTGCTACAGATTATTTTCTTTTGTGTTCCATGCATGACATGAGGACGAGGAAACAATGACATAATTTTCATTTTTAGGTGGACTATCCCTTTAACACTTACCTACATACCTTTATTTGTTTATCTCTTCTATTGTTTCAGTTGGCTTGGGCTCCTTACAGGGAAATTACATGATTGGTTTCTCCAGGGTAAAAACTGACATGACTTACCTGGTGTGACTGACAGTTGAGGGCTGTAGGACTGATGTTAGGTGAGGATGACAGTGATGATGAAGATGGTGCGGGTAAAGGTGGACGTTTTTGACGAGCAATGCAACAGAACACAGTTGGGCTGGACGGTGAGACATTTTGTGAGGTAACACACACATGCACACAGCATTAATAATGAGATGGAAACCTGTGCATGCAGGGATAGTATTAGTCTGTTAAAGCATTAACACACACACACACACACACACACACACACACATACACCAACCCTACCCCTAACCCTACCCTCACAGGAAACTTTCTGCATTTTTAGATTTTCAAAAAAACTCATTCTGAATTATTTATAAGCCTTTTGAATTACGGGGACACTGAAAATGTCCTCATAAATCACCTTCT